GGGTTACATAACCTAGGGACACTTCTCCCATATTCGCGCATATAGCGAACAAGGCTTAGTAAAAAGCTAAATATTCTCGTTGCTGGCAAGAAAGCCTCAACAATAAAAAAATGTCTCTTCACCTCTTCAAAGGAAATTTCGTCTTTGTCAGAATTATTACGAGCTTTCTGACCCAGTATTATTTAAGTGAATTCGTTCCTGATTCAAATCGCAGTCGGGAGCAATCACAAGAATGCTTCGGCAGATTGGATGTACTCAATGCATGCCTTCCGCCAGTGAGAGTCCTTGCAAAATTTCTACAATCACAAGTAGATGAATTATCGAACTTCTACATGGCACACTGCTATGAACAGAAACAGTTCATAGCGCATGAGATAGAAGTATTTGAAGAAGAGATCGGATTTTACGACTACTTTCCAAAGCAGATATGCTCATTCATATGGTGGAGCTATAGATGATGTGTGCTCGAACATTCGCAAAGAAATATGCGAATTCATCGCGTTTACATGCAAAACAATCCAAAACTGTTTTTACCGGCATTTGCCCAACAACAGGTGAGCAGTCTGAACGTGAGAATCCTGTGGATCCCGATGCAAAAGAAAATGAAAAGACAAGCAAAATTGCACTCGTAGACGACCATATTGAGCAATGCAATTCTCACTGTGCAACTCGTACGCACAAGACCTGTGCAGATGTAAAATTTGACAAAAATCTGCTCAAAGGCACCCATAATGAAGTAATGCTGGGGCAACCCAATCCTGCCAGCAACGAACACTATAGGCTGTATCAGCCAGCATCGGTCTCGCGCCAGTATGATTCGCGACGACGCACCGTCGCATGCGACCTGCTTCAACGAGTAGCAGAGTTCGCACGCGTCACACCCCACCGTCGCAAGCTGCCGCAGGCGCGATGTCGCAAAACCGATGCTGGCTGGTACAGCCTATACCTCCTATCGGAAAAATATTCTAAAACGGCTAGCGAAAATACGCAGAAACCGCAACTGTTTTGAATGATACCTAACAAACTTGCCGATCGTAACGATCGGCAAGAAAGACTTGAGCGCGAATCACTCACGAATCGTGGAGCAAAAGACGAGGCAAGCAAAATTGCGCTTCAAATGATTGCAATGAAAATTGCAATATTTACTGTGTAGAAAATCGTACGCAGAAGGCCTGTGCGGATGGAAACCTTGACGAAAATTCAATCAAAGTCGCCCAAAATGAGAAAATGGAGGCGCAACCGATTGCTGCCAGCAGCGAACAGTACCTCCTGTCAGAAAAGTGCCCTGAAAAGGCGAGCGAAAACACGCGAAAACTGCAGCTGTTTCAAATAATATCTATCAAACTTGCCTATCGTAACGATCGGCAAAAAAAGACATTGTTGTCTTTTTCCCTTCCAACTTACTTTTCCCAATTCTCGGCTCATCTCCTGCGCCGAAGTGGTCCCCGTCTTCACGCGCACGCACCCTCGTCAACGGCCAGCGAGGGACCCCGACAAGAACGCCAAAAGGACATGGAATGGCAGCCACCAGATGAAGGACATGCTCAATTACCCCGATGAAGATGCAGGATTACCACCATCCCTATTCAACTATTTGTATTCTATCAACAACATTCTGCCCACCGTCGATGCCAACTGCCCCTACAACGCCGACTAACTATCGCCAAATACCGCAAGTCCACCAACTTCAACATCACAGACGCAATCCACGACATCCAAACACAAGAAGAAGAGACCTCTCTAGTGATAGCATTTTATTTATTCGTTTCATTGTTATTATGATTATTGCCCCTGCCCCGGCCGGAGTGTTCGGCCATTTGCTGTTTAGGTGGCCGAACCCGTACCATCAATCAACCTGCAGTAAAGCGGGCGGGTACGGGTCGACAGGGGTCAGCGGGGTGTAAGCTTTGGCAGTCTTGCAATAAACGTTCGTAGCGACGTGTTGTGAGCTCCCAGTGTTACAGTTGCCCTATAGTGGCACACTACCATATGTGGGACCATGATGAGCAATGTGGAAGTGCGCGTAGAAAAATTGCGAAACACAACATTCAGGCCAGCTTTCTTGAATTTAGCTTGAAATTGTGAAAGGAAGATAGTCAGCCCCCAACGCCTTCGTGCTGCACTTGGCCTCGCATTTTACCGCGCGCGATTTTGCGGTCCGAAACGTGTTAAAGCACTGGCTCGCAAAGTCTTTGGCTTGAAGAGCTCCTGTTTGTCTGAGATTATCTAATGCACATATCCCGGACGTCACATTGGAGAGCGGGAGATGGCGAAATGGGAAGAAAAAGCAACTCGCAAAGCGTTTTACTTTGAATTAGGACAAGTGAAAGAGTTCTCGTCAAGGTTGAGACGCGGTGTCGTTGAGGGTCTTACGGCACGCGCCAAACTTGATCCGCTTGATCCGCTTCGTCCACCTCGCCATTGGTCAGCTTGCCGATTTGACCAATAGCGAAATGGAGAAAGCGGATCAAGCGGATCGAGTATGGGCATACCTATGGTTTCAGCGTTGCGGGGCGCGCGCACGGTGGGAGGGGGGGGGGGGAAATCGGCATCACCAAAACTCAACTTCCCAGGCAAAGATGGCATGCTGTGCGACCCGTGTTGCCTTGTTTCAATACGTCGGTGGTAACCTAGCACATCAAAATAATCTAGCATAGTTTCGCCAACCCACTGCCTCTGAAGGCAATGCAATGGACCGGGAAAGATCCGAATTCGGGGTTTTCGCATTTTCTAGGGTTTCCCGACCCGTGGATTCCATATATAAACTTCATTTAATGAGGGAATGATGAAAACCCCGTTTTTGAATAGTCCCCGCGGGCGCAACGAGGACGAGCTGAGCCGTCCTTCGCGGCCCGATCGCGTCGCTTGGAAGGACGGAGGCGAAAATTCGCCGCTTGATATTTTAGGATTGCAACGATGCGCCAGTCAACGATCTTGACAGGTAAGACGTGTATTCGCTTGGAGGAAGACGTCCTCGTGGAGGCGGGCTGAGGGCTGGAGGCGGGGTAAGGGCTGGGACCTCAGTAATCGGTGCGGGCTTGGCGGAGGCTGGAGGGGGTTACGGGAAAGCTAGCTGATATGCTTAGTTGGGAGTCCCTTACTTTGGGGGGTCAAAAATATCAGAAATCCGATTTTCCCGGTCCACCGCCTTTAAGCAGCATCCGGGTAGGTATACAGTCTGCTCCAATCGGGATCAGGCCGAACCGTTGGCTGAATTTACATGCAGCGCAGGGTTTGCGCTGCATACGCGCGCTGTCAGAGAGAACGAGGAGATTGAGGGGGGAGCAGACTAGCTAGCCTCAGATGTGACGCAATACCCTCACGATACGGACTCCCGCTATGCCAATTTCGGCCTGGTTGGGATTGGTGCAGACTGTAGTTGCCCTCACCCCGCTAGTTGTTCGTGATTAAATTTGAATTTGAATCAGAATAAGCCGCGGTAGAGCACGGCACCCTCAGCCCCCATTCCAAGCTCGCTTATGTTTTCCTCTATTTTCTTCATGTTTCTATTTCTTGGGTTTTAATGTTTTTTCTTTGTTAGAAGTTGCAATTTTCTTGGCTTGTAGGATTTTGTGGCATAAATTTCACTGAAGCAAAACTTCAGTTTTGTTATCAACAAACAAGAACATATAGCAAATCCAAACTTACCCGTAAGCAGAATTGACAAAACGAGCTGTGTGAAACATCGCTCACTAACCTTCGCGCATTTTTATCGCAGCATTGTTAAAACACAAAAATAACATGCAATGACAAAAGGAAAAAAACGAAGGAAACACGCGAAGTTTTATTCAAAAGCTGGCGGTGCCGTGCTCTACCGCAGCCAAGCTGCTATGCAGGCTGTCTGTAAAATGTGCACATTGTTTGATCGTCATCAACTCTCTTGCAATGGTGTCTTTCGGCGAACTCAAAGGCAGCGTCCCGGCAGATGATGGGTGCCGGGTTTTTGTGGCAGTGTTAAAGTAGAACCCCCTACCTAAGCGATGACTAAGTTCTGAGCAAAAAAGGGGGTCTACCAAGCCTCAAGTTTGCTCCGAAAGCGGCCCGGGTCTTACGGTAGGCCCGAATGCCCTCCGCACAGCGATTTCGAACTGCAAAGAAGGAGCACGAATAGCGCACACAGCCATGAGCGCAGGGTCCCGACGACTTAAGGTCTCTACCTTGCATGCATCTCGTGCTCGCTCGAGCTACCGTAACATCCAGGCCACTGAGGGGGGGGGGATTTGTAGACTTCTAGACCTCTTTTTGCGCTGCAAACTTCTGTCGTCTCTCAGTTAGGGGGTCTACTATACATTAACCAGAGCAGGTGCCACCCAGTCTGGTGGGATGCGCCTTTAAGGTCCGTTGTGTAGAGCGCTACCCAAATTTACAGAATAGAGCGAATCAGCGATTGCTTTCCACTACTGTAGGACTGGTAGGAACGAAGATGAGAATTTTAAGCCATTAAGAGCCATACTCTGCTCCAAAATAATCAAACAAGCCAAAAACTGTGGTAACGGGCTAACATGGTCCCTGATATCAAATATAAAATTTGCACTTTATTGCATCTCATTTTTCATAAGGTATTCGAGGAATGTCGTGACAGGTGCCTCTCTAATATTCGTCAGAAATGTGTTTACAACCATCGAAAAAGTTCAAAAAGTCGTAAAAAGTTGGCAGTGGAATCAGCATATGCGAAAACCCTTCTATAGAGTTTTCTCGATTTTCCAAAAAAATCTTGCCAGACGGCCTTTTTTCAATGGTTCTATATACTGAAAGTTCTTACAGTAATTCTTTTGTAATGAAGAGCGATCGCTGGTTCACTCTATTCTGTAAATCTAATGGACCTCGCTTTACAGGTACCCGAAAGACACCAGAGCAAGAGAGTTATTAACGATCAAACGGTGTGCACATTTTTTGGGACACCCTGTATAACAGCCTGGCTGCGGTAGAGTGGTAACAATGTGCACATCTTGGGAAGACGTGTGTTCTGAAAATTCAGTGAATGATTTATTGTGTCAGAAGCTGAGACTTTAAAAGATGTTGTGAAGACTGCCGTTTACAAAATTGACTGCAGTTCTTCTATGTCCAGTGCAAAGCCATCTTCTTGCACACAAACGATCTTAAGTTAACGGCGCAGGATTGGTCGTCCCATTTCTGGTACCACTGATCATTACTGCCTTCGAAAACATCAGGAAGCATCTGAAATAGATATATAAGAGAACAGGTAGAGGAAAGAGCTCTGCCATTTTGGTCCGCCTCCTCGAACTGCGGTTTGAAACCACACAGAACAGATTTGGAAGTCATTGCTATTTTCAACTACAGTATCTCGCCGCCATTTACAGGGCATTTGTGGCGAGACCCTAAGTGTTTTAGTCATTTGAAGAAGTCAGTGCCTTCAGCTGTTCCCACAGGCACATAGGAGGTTCCCACGGTAGTCCTACAACACGTCTAACGGGGCCTGCGTCGCATAGTGCAGTCACACATCTACGCGCAAAGCTAGCGTACCCGCAGCGTGCAGGGACCACGCTGCCCACAGCATCGCGCACCTTGTTTTTATTATTGTATCTTGTGGTTTTTCGTTTTTGTGGTAGCGGCTTGTCATTTTTTTTGCTTTTATGCTAATATGCGATCTGCCTTGATAGATACCATGTACGTTTTTTTTCGCAGCGAAGGAAGGAGATATCAAACCTTTGAGCGATTTTCCTCATGACATCTTTCATTTCATCCGGGCTTCTTCGAATGGCTAATTTCGGATGTCACAATTTATTATATCGCCTCGTGTTTCGACGGACATAGTCGTATATCGTTTAGGTTTGAGTGAACAGCGCCAATATGCTGTTCCTTTGAACTGTTCTCTCAACCTACACGATATGCGATTATACCTTACGATATTCACTTTCATCTATAAGGAGAAAGAGCACCAGTCGCTCTCAGAATTCTCAAATAAAATGATTAGATTACATCTTCTTTGAAAGATGACCTCCAGCCTCCATTTTGTTTTCCATTCGCGGGGTTATACTTTGAGAGATTTCATAGAATACTGAATAGAGTTTCAGACAGGGGAGGTTCAGAAATTCAGAAGCAGGACAGAAAATAAGCTAAGAAAGATGCAGGAAGAGTAGCTAGAACAAGGACTACGCCGCTTTGCGCGGCATGGTCCTTGCACGCTGCGGCTACGGTAGCGCTGCGCGCGGGTGTATAACTGCACTACGCGGCGCTGACCTCGTTAAACGCATTGTGACTGGTAGGACAGGGGGACGTATGTCTCCTATGTGCGACACCGGCTCAAATCACTTATCATTTCCCAGACGTGCTCATAAGAAGTTGTTTTCGAATGAAGAAGTAAAGTTGTAGCGGTATTTATATGTATTGTCGACGCCGCCAATGAATCTAGATGCACGCATTTGCTTTGAGGTAGTTTGTTTTAACACGTTTCGGACCGCGAAATCGCGCGCGGCGAAAAAGAGAGTACTTTCAGCCGTTAGCCAGCAAAGGAACCTTATTTCCCAGCTGTGGGCTACACTTCTAATCCGCATGTCAGATAAAATCGATATCCAAAGTTCTGAATGAGTAAAAGTTTGAATTTTGTCGCTTGAAAAGGACTTCTGTGCTTTCTTGATAGATAGAAACAAGAACTCAGTTTCTAAAAGAAACAAGAACTCAGTTTCTAATTGTATCAAAAAGTATCTATGTTGTACGCGATAGAAATGACTGTTGAAATTACGGTTTTTCCCATTTAATTTGAAGCAAAGAAAAGTTGCGACGTCGCATGCGTCGTTCGCGTTGCTTTGCAACTGTTGTTCGAATTGTCCTCATATCTCCTAAACAAATATCGGCGGCACAGCTCTACAGAATTATTTGAAAAGTAGGAGCCTAGGCCTTTGACTTGATAACCTTGGACAAAAAGGAAACCTCCTGTAAACGTTGAAAGGATCCTTCGAAGCCGCGTGCTGCACCGGTCCGAAACGTGTTAACTAGTAAAGCTCTGCATGTTTTTAGTGAGATCATTCCTTCTTTTTTGAAGTCGTTGTTCTGTGAGGTTTATCTGCTTATAGCTAGACAGGTCAAAAAATCAAACAAATACTAGGAATCATAGAACGTTAAAACGGTTAGGGTCTGGCCACACTTCGCTTAAAAGCGCTTAAAAGCGCTTAAAACGCTCAAAAGCGCCCAAATTTTTCTGGTGTCGCTTCACCTTCTCGTGCGAGGAAAGATGAGAGAGAGTGAGGAGAGGTTAGAGAAGTTTGGGCGCTTTTGAGCGAAGTCTGTCCAGGGCCTCAAGATTTGATGATGTTTCCTTTTTCATACTGAAGAATACGCAAAATTTTAGTTTTGTCCAGCATGCCTCTTGTGTTTGGCTTCATGACATGAGATGGGTTGCGGATAATATACGATGGGCATATCTTGCTCATCTCTGTCATGGTATGTTCACCAATCAGATTGTTGTTTGAAATTTGTCAAAACTTACTGGAATATCTAAACCTTGTAGTAGATGTAAGCTCTTTCATTACTAGTTTGCCGATTTTCGGTAACGTCAGCAAGGAGGAATGAGAGTCTCGACGATGACATCACTCATCAAGTACTGATGATGGGATACAATGTGTACAAGCCTTCAACTGAGTCTAACGAGTACTAGAATAAGTAAGAGTAGTATGCCAATAGGATTTATGATTTACAATACCGCTCAAAGTTTATGAAAACAAGACGCAAATCGAAGTGAACTTATGCAACCGTAAGTCACGCGACGGTCGCATGGCCATATCTCGCTTCAGAGAGGACAAATTTTGAACCTGAAGTCACCATTCGACTCAGCTCGGCGCGGAGCATCTTTTAATAAGTTGGAAGTAAAGGTACGATGTCTTTGATATTCCGCCAGTTTTCTCAAATTTTTGCTGCGGAGGTTCTTCCGCGAAAATATAAGAGGCAGCGCCTATCCAGCAAAGAGGATTCCACTGCAAAGAAAATTCCATTAAGTCTATCTGATGACACTGTTCTTGTAAGTCGTGCGCTAAAAATAGCCTCAGACTTCTTCTCAAAAGAGATGGAAGCGTTGGTGAATTCTGGAAAACTTACGAGTTTTTAAATTCAACCATAACTTCTTTCGGAAAAATATATTTTCAATGGGAAAAAGCGCTGTATTCAGTTTATCAAGCGAATCTTTTGATGTACAGCACGTCTTTGACACTCCGATTTCTTGACTCTTTCTGCGCTCATATTTTCGCAAATGTGTGAAGCAGCGCGCATGCCCCTAATAGACTCCAGCAAAGACCGTTCGATAGTACTTTTTTTGTGGATTATGTAGCGCTAAAAAGCAGTCGCAGACTTCTTTCCAAAGGAGATATAAGGATGGTGAATTGTGGAAAAGTTTTGTCGTCCCACATTCTACTCGCAATAGCCCTAGAATACGAAGCTATCTTGCTAAGCAGATGTGAGTTTCGTAACCAGCAGGTCAGATATACTAAAACCAAATTATAATACTCGTAAACAAGACTAAGTGATAGGATACAACACGGAACGATAACCTCTATGAGGAAGTACCCAAAGAACTTCGGGTTGTTTGATTTTTTTCTTGTTTCATGCTCTGAAGCTCGTCAGTGGGTTATGGTCGAATGTTGATGATCTTGGTTTTGGAGGAAACTCCGCTCATAGACGTTTTCGAACACGCTGCTTATGAAAATCGTGGTCTCTGTCAAGTGCAAGGTCTTTTTGCGGAGATATTGTGAGGTAACTGTAACTGAGTCACGCAAGTTCGTAACTCTGCCTGCACTTCTCGCGTATCTTCCAGAGAACTTGTCTGCTCGTCTTTAAAGTTAGTAGGTGCGCTAGTGGATAGTTCATGTCTCAGGCTACAATCTGTAACATTTGCTGAGCTGCGAGCCTACGAAAACATGTCTTCATGAATTTAGCCAAAATGTAAAGATCGCATACAGTCTGCCCCGATCGGGATCAGGCCGAACCGCCGGCTGAATTTGCGCGCTCGCAACGCTAGGATTTTGCGCTGAATACGCGCGCTGTCGCAGAGAGCGAAGAAATTGAGAGAGCAGACTGGCTAGCCGTAGAAGTGACGCAATACCCTCGCGACGCGGGTTCCCGCCATTCCAATTTTGGCCTCTTTGGGATTGGGGCAGACTGTACCTCGTCGATATTCCACCGTGTCTAGTTGTATGACACTCATATTGCGAATATCATGTTCAATTCGCCTAATGGATCTCACTGTGTCAAATATGGTGCTTGGTGTGCTTCAGCTGCACAATTGAATATCAAAGCAGTTTCGTGGCTAGAGCTCAAACTACCAAATCCAACACAATAGGATCCATTAAGGATGTGAAAAGATTTGACCAGCGTGTTGTACAACCTCACACGGTGGAATATCGATGGGGTATGCGATCTTTACATTTTGGGCAAAATTCATGAGGACGTGTATTCGTAGGCTCGTACTCAGCAAATGTTAGAGATTGGAGCCCGAGACATAAACTAACCGATAGCGCAGTTCCTACTAACTTTAACTATAAAAGCAAGCAGGCAAATTCTTTGGCAGATACGCGAGAAGTGCAGGCAAAGTTACGAACTTGCGTGACTCAGTTACAGTTACCTCACAATATCTACGCAAAAAGACCCTGCACCTGACGGAGACCACGACTTTCATAAACAACGTGTTCGAGAACGTCTATGAGCGGTGTTTCTTCTGAAACCAAGATCACCAGCATCTCGACCAAAACCCACTGGCGCCCTTCAGAGCGTGAAACGAGAAAAAATCGAACAACCCGAAGTTCTTGGGAAACTTGCTCCTAGGGGTTATCTGACCTGCTGATTACGAAACTCACATCTGTACAGCAACATAGCTTCGTATTCTAGGGCTATGGCGAGTAGAATCTGGGACGACAAGACTTTTCCACAATTCAACAGCCCTTATATCTCCTTTGGAAAGAATCTGCGGCCGCTTTTTTAGCACTCAATATTCTACAAAAAAAAGTACTATCGAATAGTCTTTGCTGGGGTCTACTGGGGGCACTGCGCGCTGCTTCACACATTTGCGAAGAGAAGAGCGCAGAAAGAATCAAGAAATCGGAGTGTCAAAGACATGCTGTAGTAGTACTATATAATATTTGGCTTAGCGGGTGAGGCGTGTGTTAATAAGCCATTTTGTTCGGGACCCACCGTTTGACTCTATCGATTTATTGATTTTGCAGTTTTTGAGAAAATTTGTATGTTCGCTCAAAAATGATAGAAGGAGTTAGGAATTTGACCCAAATTTGGCAGACGTAATGTATGGGGTGAGGTATGTCTGCAAGTTTTGTTTAGAAGATAAAGATCGATTTTACCGATTTATTGATTTTTTAGTGTTTCTGCTTAAACATCTTTTGCCGGTCCAAAATATTTGAAAAAATTATGGGTCTAAAACGAACTTCGCACAATGAGCTTTAGTGCGGACGCTTGTCACTAAGATTTCATCAAAAATAATCTACTGTCGCTTGTAATTCATTGACTTCCGGCGTTTTTTGCTTAGCAGTTTTGCTATGACTGGCCCAGAATGCTAGATAATAATTATGAGATCTGACGCAGACTTCGCATACATAAACTTTTGAACGGGTCTTTTCTTAATAATCTATTCTCACTAATATAGGATGAATCAATTTACTAGTTTTTCTTCCTTTACGCTTTTGGGGCAAAAAATTGGCGGGAAGAATGAGATAGGTAGGCATGGTTATTGCGAACACAATATCTATTACTTCAATGTTGAATTTTCAATCTGTTCATTTTTTGGTATCTAACATTCTCAATAGTGACTGATATCTGACTACGCATCAATCCCTTTCTCAGCGGGGTTCATCGACGAGCCAAATTCATCGGCAAAATCAAAAATACCACCCACCCACAAGATCAAACATGACCACCATCAATCCAATGACACCTTATTTCTCCTTCCCCTTTCATTCATATCATGACGCCACTCTCACGTACTATATCTACTTCAAATGCTTCACCCCTTACAGCATGGAGCACATCCAGCCCTTCTATATTGTCGACTGCGCATTTCTGTTGCTTAGAATGTTAAGTCAAATCTAATTGAAAAGCCAAAATTGTCGCAATATCCTTTATCTACATAGGTTGAACCAAAGTACTTCGCGCAAACTAACAAATTCAATAGAAAATTCTTGCATTTGCACAGTACAGAGTGGAACGAAAGATATATGGGGCAGCGAAGCTGCAGTGCGTAGCGGCAGAGAGCAGCTGTTATCAAAAGATTCGCCTTGATAAGCTAAGCACAGCGCTTTTTTTTGCATTCAAAATATACTTATTCCGAAAGAAGTTATGGTGAGTAGAATTTGGAAACTCGTAATTTTTTCAAAATTCACGAACGCTTCCATCTTTTTTGAAAAGAAGTCTCAGGCTATTTTTAGCGCACGATAATCTACAAGAACAGTATCATCGAATAGTACTTAGTGGAATCTTTTATGTTGGATAGGCGCTGTCCCACATCTTCGCGGAAGAACCTCCGCAGAAAAATTTGAGAAAACTGGAAACGGAATATCGAAGGCATCGTACCCCAATTCCAACTTAGCAGAAGATGCTCCGCGCCGAGCTGAGTCGAATGGTGACTTCAGGTTCAAAATCCGTCCAACTGAAGCGGGATTTGGCCACGCGACGGTGATGTCACATAACTCAAGCGACCGTCGCGTGACTTATGCGACGGTTGCATAAGTTCACTTCGATTTGCGTCTTTTCTTCAAAAAATGTGAGCGGTATTGTATGCTGATGGAGGACATTTGCAGCAGTATATAACAGTACACCTAGAATCATCAGCAATACTTGTTTCTGCAGTAATGTTTCCAAGCATTTGGCGGTGACGCAGAACTGTGCAAACGGACTGATAAGCAGTTACACAACTATCTTTAATGTTAAACCCTGCTGTATCCTCATCATCGACTCAAGCCACTGCTGATCTGATTGACAAGCTAACAGAAGCTGTGTTTGAAGAGATTGGATGGCTTATTGGAGTTTTACTTATGCTTTTATAGTGGTTTCATGGCTTCTCATTTAGTTTTCTAATCATCCCACCTCAGGTGCAGCACTTTTGAACTTTCATGAATGCGGATGGATATCGTATATAAAAGGATATCGTTTTTCACTGCTTCAAGCGACCTCTGCAGGGCTAGCAAGATGAATATATGTTTTTGTAAGCAGGTTAATTAGAGGATGAACTACTTTTTTTAGACGTCTCTCTCTGCTTACAAAGGATTGCTTCAGATTAGAGCAGCGGCTGCGACTGCACATCATTTGCTCGAAAATAAATATAGTAAATCTGCAATCTGCGTGGTTTCTGGTCTGAAGCAAGCCGTAATACTTCGATAAGTGGTTTTGGTCATCTCAAAACCATTATCTAAGAATTTGTTGAATCTTTTTGTTTATATGGAAGTCATACCGACGCGCAGCGTTCTAAGTTTCCCCAGTTATTTGGAGCACCCGGTCCCCAGGCGAAGAAGTTAACTTTCGTGCCGTCAGTCCACATCCAGTTATCTTTCCATTTGCTGTTCAAATAATCGGATCGTACCAAGCCTATCCAAATTCCCTGCTTATTAGTACTCATTTTGATACGCATCCTTGACAACTCTAAAACACAACATATAGTAACCCACATTTGGAAAAAGTTGGTTTACCTGCTACAAAAGAATTTTCTGCATGGCTATGAATTGAAGTCAGATGTCCTTTAGAGTCCGTACAGAGGCTCTCGGCTTCGTGAAAGGTTGCCGAAAAGAAATTCTGTAATGTTAAATGATTGAAATCCAACATCTCCAGATATTTCTCATTAACATCGTCAGTGATCTCTTATTTGTATCATATGCATTCGTACAGTAAGTGTAAAGTAAAAATAAACCTAAATAGAAATTTTAAATACATAAGAGGAGATGTGTAAGCGCTATACTTGTGCTCGCTTCACAATGCAATGGTAACTGAAGGAATTGAGAGTGGGTACGAATGTCATGGTAAGGTTTCAATTGCATATCATCCTGTTTTTCAGAGTTCAGAAATACCTTATAACAAGCGTCCGTCTCGTTGAAGTAGGTCCATCCACTTTCGCAATATCCATACTGTACTGAAAAATGAATATTTGCAAAACCTTGTATTGCATGCGCGGCACCCGCGTCTCGTTCAGGGCACCGACACCGATTACTGAGTATCTAAATGGTAATTTAAGGGGTGACCGCAAACATTCCAAGTAATAAGCTTTCAGTGATGTGATAATTAGTTATGCATGTTCTTCTTGATCTTCTTTCAAGCGTTGTTTGCAAAGTAGAGACAAGTTTCTTGAAATTTCTTCTAGTTCCTTAAACGCTTTCACAGATCATTGTTTGTCTAAGAGTTCCATGCATTGCAAAGAAACGACTAGAATTTGAAGTACTCCTTATCACTCTTTTCCTAAATAAGTGAACGACGGCAATCTCTTTTCAGATGTATAACGTTGCGAAAAGAAGATTTTTTTGCAGGATTGTGGCCTAGAAATCTCAACATAGACTTTATCATTCGCTGTAGCATTTTTGTGCTATGTAAAAATCTTGAGCATTGCAAAAGGCGAGTACAGAAGTGTTGACTGTACAGCAAGGGCGGATCACTTTTGGTGATAAGAAAAAGTAGTTTTCTCATTTTTATTTGCTTTCTTTGAAAGGTTACAAAGTGGGGACCGGCACAGGTCTCAAGGGCAAGCTGGATATCGTTTCTGGGGTCAGAAGCAAAAGTAATATCGTTTTTGAGGGGTTCGGAGTGGACGCTGTGTGTATCAGCCTAGCTTAGTATGTAGGAAGAGTCGGCCAATGCAAAATCGGAGGTACGGTTGAAAGAATTTCAGAAAACTTGGTCATGCAAAGCAATCTAACAGGTCATGTGAAATTGAAAGGTAAAAAAACTTTGAAGAGTTGTCCATTTTGACGTCTACCAACCCTTCAAGAATTTTCCAGCGCCCTCTCTCTGACATACAATACTTACTACGCTATTGTCGCATACAGTACTGGACATAATCACAAAGACACTCTAGAAATCGTCGTAATTTGCGTTCTTGCTGACGAATCTGTTCGAAACTTTGCTGTATAATGCGCATGTTAGCCTACCAAGACCCCTTAAAACGGCTTCCAATCTTATTGAGTTCGAACGGACACAAATAGCAAAAAAAAACCCCTAGAAAGCTGGACATAATTATAAAGGCACTTGAATTTTTTCAAACTATCGCATCCTCTGACTTTAAAATTTCTTTGTACAGTTATATACTAAAATATGAAACATTTGCAGCATCTGGCGACCTATCATCCTTTCCAAAGAGAAATGATTACTGCATTTTTTGCTTTCAAAAGCATCAAAAGTGAATGTGCTTCAACAAACAGCAGGCTTGTGGAGTTTTCAAGCTCTTGCTCATTTCAAATGATAGTCATGGAATCCATTGAGCCTTTTCGATGAACTAGGTAAAGAGCACTTTCGTAAATTCTGCGTAATCACTGATAAGGACGGACAGACTCCAACCTCAACATGGGCTTGACGCCCTTTTGAACCACAAAATCAATTTTCAAGCAACAGAAAATACTGTATTGCAGCCATTACGTCGGTGTACAACAGTAAACTTGTATGCATAGCTAGGAAAGAAGTTCGAAGTTAGCATTATGGTTCAGCCGCAGTTGTCATCCACTGAATGTTGAGTGGAACCGCTGTGTAATGATAGCCAACACAAAACACGAAGTAGAATAGGAAGCAGCTTAAAACTGCATAATCTTAGCTAATCTCATTCTTTGGGTAAAATTTGACATGAAACAGAGAGGGAAGTAGTCAGTTTTATAAATGTTTCGAATCTACTGCTCGCAGAGAATTTTGTGGGAAGCATTCAGGTCTAAATCGCGACTGCACCACTAGAGAAAACCTGAAACTTGTGCGAAAGTTGCACTACCATGTAGGCAATCTAATAAATCAAGTCTAGCACTTAAAGGCAGTGTCCGGGCAAAAAGTCGATTTTGAGATTTTGTGCTTACTGAGGCCTATTCGCCATGCTGAATCCGAAAATCCACACTGGAAAGCGCGAAAACGGCCAAAAAGGGCTGTAACGTAGGCGCGACATCAAAAGGGGGCGGGGTCTTCCTTACAGTGAATTCACGGTCCCAGCTTCCGGAGCGATCTTCTCGCTTCCGATTTCAGATCATGCATTCGCATTTGGTCTGTGGAGATGTCAGGACGGTTAGCGGATTCAAAAAGATCGCTCCGGAAGCTGGGACCGTGAATTCACCGTGGGGAGGACCCCGCCCACTTTTGATTTCACTCCTATCTTAGAGCCCTTTTTCGCCGTTTTTGCGCTTTTCAGTGTGGATTTTCGGATTCAGCATGGGTATAGGCCCGGGTAAACACAAAATCTCAAAATCGACTTTTTGCCCGGACACTGCCTTTAATAAGAATTAATTGTAGCACTATGAACATTGTAAACTGAGTTTTGTCTTTCAAAAGCGTGACAAATCTATATTGAATATTGAGGTTGGAGTCTGTCCGTCCATATCAGCGATTACGCAGAGTTTACGAAAGGCTCTTCACCTCATCTATCGAAAAGTTCAGTAGATTTCATGACTGTCATCTGGCATGAACAAGAGCTTGAAAACTCCTAAACCAGCTGCTTATTGAATCACATTCACTCTTGATGCTTTTGAAAGCAAAGAATGCAGTGATCATTTCTCTTTGAGAGGATGACAATTCGCAGATGTTGCAAATGTTTCATATTTCAATATGTGACTATAAAATTTTTTTAGAGCGATAGTGTTCAAAAAACCCAAGTATCTTTATAACTTTGCCCAGCTTTCGCTACGGGCTTTTCGAATTTTTATATTTTCGAATACTATTTTTCTTCGTCTGAACACCGAATTGGAATCCGTTTTAAGGGCTTTTGGTAGGCCAACATGCGCACTATACAGCAAAGTTTCGAACACTTTCATCAATAAGAACGCAAGTTACGACAATTTCTAGAGTGTCTTTATAATTATCCATAAACAGGTAGATGTCGAGCCTTGTATACTAGGTCGTTCCGAATTCTTCTCATTTTTAAGCGCATAAGTTCTGCTGAGCAACACATCTGCTTGCTTTGTTAGAACTACAGGCTTTGCGACATCTTTTTTCAAATAAAAATATTGAAGAATAATGATAGAATAATGCTCGTTACTTTTGCTGTCAGAGCAGAATCGGCTTATGAGAAAATAATGGCACTTGTTTTTGCTTGAGTTTTACAGTTCTACTTTGATTTACATTCGTATATACTATTCAGTTAGAAGAGTTTTGGCCGTTGCTTAGCTGGTGAATTTTTCTCAAAACACATCGACAAAGATCTTGGAATCATCCATAATAGACATTCAGAGAGCTGCATGTCAAACCTCCACCTTCCGCGGCGCTTCCTATTCTCGCAATGTTTCAAGAGCTTGATCAAGCATTGCGTCCTGTTCGTAAAGAAAGCATTTGTATCGCTCACCTGTGTTAGAACGATTGAAAGAAGGGAGACTAGGTAGGATCGAGTTTCTGTAAATTTGACATCCACGGACAAATTTCATTAGAGTAAAACAAACCTGGAAATTCCTTCTTTGCTGTTGGGATTTGCAAAGGCTTCCGTCAGTACTACCAATGCAATAAACAGGATGTTCATCGAACGCAACCTGAATACTCGCTTCTACTACCGTATACCGTTTTATGACAGATGCTTGACGCGCCGACCAGCTGAGTGCCTACTTTAATTTACTGTTAGACATAAGCTATGAATTGAGGTAGGCACTCAAGCAAGCTTGTAAGGCGATGTAAAAACTAAGATTCTAATGAAATTGGCTGATTATTTGATGCGGTTGGAGCATACGTTTGATTTTTATATCATTATTAGCAAGCTTATGGGTTAGAGCAAATGCATCTGTGTATTGTTGCTTTACCGAAAACCCAAGTACTATCAGTACTCTGCGTTGATACCACTGCTT